CACACACAGACGAGTCGACTCAACACACACAACCAATCAGGAAACGGTCAGCAGTGTGTCCTGTCTGCAGAGGAAAGCGAGCGAACTCAAGACATGCTTCTAGAAAAGCAAACACGCAGCGCTCCTGTGTGTTTGTCCATGCCACCGTGTGTGTGTGTGTGTGTGTGTTTAAGGGGTCATAAACACAGAACCACACACTCACGCTGCATTCACTGCATCCCACCATTGTCCCGTTGCACACACACATGGCACACAATGTAAACACAAGCTGACACACGTGTAAAACGTGCTGTGCTCGCTCCTACACACCGCTGATAGAGATCTCTAGTGTGTGTGTGTGTGTGTGTGTGTGTGTTTTCTCATTGTTTTCACTTGCAACGTAGATAAAGATTAGATCGCCTTTTCAACACTCACAACATGTACGCAGCCCACCACAGAACATTAATTGGACCAACCACTGTCTGAGTGGCCGGTAATTGACCTGAACGAACTCAACAGTGACATAAAAACTGAGGGACAGAAAGGGTGGTGAGACATTTCTGTCCCCTGTGTCCCATCAGAGGAAACGGTGTTGGATGTGAGGGTCAGGAAGAAGAAGCAGGGAGCCGACACTCTCGCAGTTTCACATCGCTGCGGAGCTGCAGCTATTCTTCTGTCTTTAATCCCACAGGAGTGAGAAAACACACACAAAACACACACACACACACACACACGCCTTTTTATTAGTCTCTTTTATACTTAATTTTTACTTTACTGGTGTAGGTATAATTCCACAGTGAAAGACTTTGTGGATGTAATCACACGAAGCAGCCACAGCAAATCTACAACATCATTTAGTATTTGTTAAAGTTTTTGGGAGTGCGAACAGCAGGAGGACGATGAAAAACGCAAATACAAAAAAAAAAAAATTTAAACTATTTGTTAAGATCTGAGCAGCCAAAACACAACTGTCAGTTGACAATGAGAATCAAACATCTGTGTCTAGAATACATTCTCTTTATGAGCACGCTGCGTGTGTTCAAGTGTTACACAGGGGATGTTACAGGGAAGTGTGTGGGAGTGAGACAACAAGTGCCTTCCCACACAGGCACACACATCATAAAACACTCAAAATGTCACACACACACACACACACACACACACACACACTGCGAACAATGCGTCACTTAATTCATTTAGGTCAAAGTTAATTAGAAGCAGCAGTGACACAACAGCAGATAATGTCTGTATCATTCTTCTCAACATCAGAACTGATCACAGGGTAAATGATGTCTGTGAGTTTAAGACACACACACACACACACACACACAGTCCTTACTGTCACGCTGAGAGATTCATTGCAAACCAATTGTAAAACCATTTCCGGCTGAGATCTGATACGAGAGGGCAACAAAGAGAGACCTTCGGCTGAATTTTTTTTTTTTTTTTTTTTAATTTATTGGAACAGATCCTTAGATCAGGTACGAAGTCTAAATCTTGTTGTTGACGTGTCACCCGACCGTGACTGTGAGTCTCATTCTGTTTTACGAAAATGATGACATCATCAGCATCAACGCCACCTTGTTTCTGACTTCCTGTCTCCTTGCAGGAATGTTGGCGCTCACAGAGGAACCAAACAAGCTCATGCTCAACTGCGCACATTCGTACAAACACACACACCCTGAGGTGATGAAGACATCTGTGCTTTGTGTGAGAAATATTATAGAAATTACTTGTTTTTAAAATTGAATAATACAAATATCGATTGTTCTTTCCCAAAAAATATTTCGTAGTGCACACCCTATGAAACTGACTGTACAAACCACTCACTCAAATGACTCATACTTTCTTCAAATATCACAGGCGTTACAAATATAAGTCACAGTATTTCCAAAGTAAATGATCATGATTATGTCGCTGTTTTATTTGAAAAAAAAATATGGTTGCAAATGTCGAAGCGACTGCAAAATAAAAACTGTCAATTGTGACAGAAACAATGACAAACTTTTGAGAATCAGCAAAAATAAACGGACCAAACATCTCCAATTTAACTGTTCTCACTGTCCAAGTCTGACGATGACGGTGGTCTTGATGCTGAGGACATCATCCAGGTTCCATGTCCCTCCAGTGTAAAAGCATCAAAATAAAAAAACGTCTCTTAAAAACATCTATACAAATCACCGTCTTTCTCGCGATAAACCAATCCTTTGTCGCCCAAATATGGAACACAACTGAAGGTACTGTCTCCAAAGATGATCAAATGTCAACATTGATCCCTGTGACGCGCTATTTCTATTTCCTGTTAAAATTAAAAGCCTTGTAGGGGGATACTGACCTCTACAGGGAAGGAGCTGTAACTCCTCAAAAATGTCAGATTTATAATGTACCCATGGAAAAGAACTGCAGACCTTTGATTCTGGCCCGTTTCTTTGTTCGTGGTCTATAAACGTTTGGATTCACTTCAAACATCAACTTTTTTTATTCTTTAGTTGGAGTTAATCAAACGATCTGGGGAGTGTTTAATTTGTGGGGCACAGATCAATGAAAATTTCAATCTGTAGTTGCATTCAGGAAACGCTCCCTCTGCTTGATCTATGGACTCATTCAAAGTCACCTCTGACGCCAGGAAGTGTTTCTCTTTTCCATGTGGCCCTCTGGAGTCTTGGCTATTAACCACCTGAGGCAGGAAATGCCCACTCTCCTTGATTCCAAGGTTGTTCATTTTAACCCGGTACTTTGGGAAGTGTCCTTTCTACTTGCACTGATTCTATGGACTCATGGCTACTAATGACCTCAGGCAGGAAGTGTCCTCTCTGGTGAATGGATGGAGCCATTCTTGTTTCCTTTGGAGAGAAGGCCAAGTATTGTGTGGAGTTGGCTCTTTCACCATGTAACACTTTATAACTGCCAGTTATTTTCTCTGTGTTGTTGATGTAATGAAGCCAATGATATAATAAAAATACAAAATATCTTTATTTTGTTTTTGTTTTATACTATATACATATACATATATATTCATATATATGCATATATATACCTATATACACATATACCTATACATACACACACATATATAGTATCAATTGAATCATATTATGCCATAAAGATATATGTATTTAATCCGTACCCAAACATATAATGTATATATAGGGTATGTTCAATATATTATATATATTTTATGTTTTCAATGGTAGCTCACTTTAGCTTGTTCATTTGAACAATAGCTCCTTAGCCAAATAAGTGTAATGACACCTGGCTTATGTATTCACTTTATAGCTCTTAATGTTTTATTTTTTTAATTTTTTTTTAGTACATCTAGTATTTGAATAGCATTGAAAACCAAACCGTCATCATTATCTATGGCACTATTTGCGAACTGAACACCTCAAAACTGTTGACAGTTAAAATCTAACCGTGGCAACACACATGTGAGGTAAATGTAAACCTTTCACTTTTGAAGAACTTTAAACATCAAATAGAAGGGAAAAAACAACTACCTTCCATCCACTGAATTTATGGTCTTGTCTCACTGTATTACATGTGTTGTACGGTACAAGCTTTGATACTCCGGTGTGTGTTGAGTAGAAAACTGACCTGACGATACATCGTTCTATCAAATACAATCAAACGTCAGTTGACAAACATCAAAGAGATTGACAGCGCACATGTGGAGTGAGTAAAGGCTGTCGGCCCGCTCCATCCCTTATAGCATTTCCATCGCAACACTGGCAGCGGCCATCTGTCCGACATCAACATAAAAGATACGCAAACATCACAAGATAAAGCTTCACACGAATGATGTATTGCTCTTCTTATAAAACCAGAATAAATCGCAAAGGGAAAAATAAAGTTAGCGGAACATTCTAAAACATCCCTAACTACTCCATTAAGTGACATAAATCAACTGTTCTGCCATTGCGTAACAGAAACCAGGATCTGCCAGGCTGAACATCACTCATTCCTGTTTTTACAGATCACACACTTAGGCAACAACATTAGCATTATCTCATGGGTTAAATGACTTCGGGGAAATAATCATATGTTACTGTGGGGAAATATTATAGTAGTTATATTATAGTATATTCGAGATATGTTTCACTATATTTGCTTTATAATTTAAACTGAAATCTGAGAAACGTAAACTTTCTGATATAATATGTTTCACTATATTTGCTTAAAAATTAAAATTGAAATCTGAGAAACGTAAACTTTCTGATGGGATCTTACCTGTATGATTCTACATTTAAATTTGCCTAACCCTAAGGCTAATACTTCAGAATGTGAATTTGTTCTTAATTATGTTTGTTGTTCTCTGCTATGAGTTAAAATTATCTAAGAAATACTGACAGTTTTTATACTGACTGCAAGGCCAAAAGGACAGAGAGAGAAGAGCTGCCACAGAAAGGAGTGTTAGCTGTGTTAGCTTTGTTAGCCGCGTTAGCAGTGACATAAGGTTCAACACTGCTGTGTCAGCACTTTACCTGTCAAATGACTATAAACTCTGTGTAAGAATTGTTTTTAAACGATCTGTCTAAGCTGACATAACTCGTGTTTTGTACTATTAACATTATGTTATATATTAAAAAGTATTACTATATTTGGATAAAGGAGATATTTTGTGGTAATTGATAACAAGAGACACTAATATAGTCTGATAAGAGATAAAAATACAAATATGCGGGTTACAAATGTAGATTTAATCTTTTTTCAGATTGTTGAAATCTTTTATAACGTTCAACAGGTTTTGAAAGGGTGCGAAATCCAGTTCTATGAACAACGGGTCTGAACAATAACAAACATTTTATGATTTATTAAAATTCAAACCTACTGTTTCAGCCACATTACGAGAAATAATAATTCACTCTTAGACGTTCTGAAATGATTTCGAGTTTCGAGTCTTCGTACATTTAAACCATGTTTCTTAATTGTCCCTAAAATAGCATCGTGAATCATGTCGCTCTCTCTGTTCC